AGTGATTTTGACTCGTTCGTCCCCTCCAGAAGCAATTCTGACAAAGTTGGTAGTTGGAGCAGCGTTGACACTTGTAACGGAAACCGGTGAACGATCGGATCTGAAACGAAGATGACATAAAAAACTATTGAAAGTCATGTCCCGAATGCTCGGGGTGAAAACCGAAGAATGGTTTTTGGCGTTAACCAATCCTGCTTTCGGGATGCGCCCACTCATCGGACTTCCCTTAAAAGCCATCGTCCACTGATTGCATAACTAGCCCATATCATGCTGTGGGCCGAGCGATATTCAGGTCAATGCTTTCACCCTCCCGGACAAATCAAATGCAATTAGGAGGCTGCAGAGCAATGTAAGAGTGGTTAGCCTCGACGAGTAACGGCCCCAGACTCAACGCCCTGATCATTTTTTTTAGTATGCGCCTTTCTGTACTACATACTACATCCGTTTATCCGAAATTAACTTTCGGTGTTTTACGTTCTGATGCTTAGAATTTCCTGGCAAATGTGGTTCATAGTTCATGCAGAGTCTCTGTAAAATGTCTACGAATGCGGTGGGTCGAGTAAGATTGATCCCACCCTACAGCAGGCTTTCGATGCAAAGGTTTCGCGCTATGAAGTGCTTATCCAGGATACTTTCTGGGAAGCTCAAGGTTGTCTATCCTGCGTAGAAGCGGTTTCATGAGAGACAGAGAAAAATTGGAATGTGACGAAGTGTAGTCTGGTCTTTCATTTCGATTAGGGTTCAGGTTTTCGCTGTAACCCACGGCTTGTTATATAAGAGAAAACTTGAGGGAGTCACTCACTTGGCAGGCGTCACAAACAACGGGATGGTAGACGTGCTCAACGGATGCCATCCGATGTAGCAGTGGCAACCACATGACACAAGGAGGACATGGATCTGACATAAAGACGTCGAGGAAGTTGTTCAATGTTACCCGTTGATCCTGAAAGATGTTGAAGTAGTTCAGAACTAAAACTCTTCAGGCTCAATTTAGAACCCTACGGTGAGCNTATTACTTTCATGGAATTTAATTCAATTAAAGTTAAACATATGGCTCTCACTACTATCTCTTCAGAGTATATGCGACTGTTAGTTACCGCGCCACGAGTCTGTCGTCTTTAATTGTTGCTTATAATTAATGGGCTGAATTGCAGCATGGCAAAATATTCAGGTTTACTATGAGATGAAGTTTAGTTTTGCAGATAACGTGAGTTTGCGAAGGCCTTTCTGGAAAATCATCCTCATCGGAATATTGTCTAGTGGCCGATAGCGTGTCCCGGGCATTCTCACGAGGAGGCTGATGATCCCCGGGGTGTAACTTCAGAAGTCCAATTTCTCCGTTAGAATCACGCATGGTGTTTATGAGGAATTCCCTAGCAAACCTGCTAGTTCATTTCTAATTTGAAGGGGAACCATCACATTTGAGCCTAAATCAGGATAGGATCAAAGTGTACGGTTGCTGAGAAGATCGACTGAATAGGATGTAAAATTCCTCGAACTACGGTAACTATATGATCGGCAGGCAAAATATCGGAAAGGGGAAGTAGGGAGCGTCAAATTAAGATTAACTACCAAGAAATTCGCCGGAAATAGAAGAGCACTCTTCAGGAAGTAGAGAATACCTAAAAATCACCTTCACAAAACACTGTGACACGGCACTTTCCGAGAAACCAAACGTCGGTGCTTCGAAAACGGCCGTCGTCAATGCTAACACCTATAAAGAGGGATTTTTTTCATAAACACGTAAGCTCACCCAAATGTTTGACGGGAGCACTGTACTAATACAGAGAAGTAATCATGAAATCATTGATAGTTTTAACTGCAGTGCGGAAGACAAAAAAGATTCTAAGAGTTATGGAAGGTTGGTGTGGGTTATTTGACTAGTTTTTTTTGGTTTTACCTAAAATCGTTTGGATAATCTCTGGCAAAAAATCTCTAATAGTCAAGGGTTTCCCCGGAATATCCTGAAAAAAAATTATAAACTGTCATTTGAGACGCACAGCACTTAGACGCGTATTACGTACCACTCTCCTTCTTTCTTTTTTATTTGAAGGGTAGTCCACGATGACTTTGAGGTACCCCTTTTCATTCGAAAAGCGCAAGCATAGGTTAGGAATAGTTAATCAGAGAAAAGTAAGGCTCCCAAAAAAGTGAAAATAGCGCTTGGACGAGATTGCCATGACGTAAGTAACATGGGAGAGGTAATCGGACGAGTGCTCAGTTGTTGCAATTGCGCAAATGCTACATCAAGCCGAAACTGTTTGAAATTGCCCATTACTGTCGCTATGGATCATGACAAGTTGTTTGAGCTTCGTAATGGGTTTTCTTATGAATGGAGCAACCTCTACAATGGCGTTGAAACTCGCCGAGGATACACACGGTGCAATCTTTGAGCCTTTATAATGTTATACCTTGGCCATTTTCCGACTCAGGAGAGCCGCGTATGGTATACGTGGACCCAAAATTGATTCTAGTTGAATATCTCATAGGCCAGTTTTATGGTGAACTGTGCCTTTAATCTTACAATGGTCTAATTCCGCCCCCTTACTTCTCTGCCGCCTCGTTTTAACGTTCCAGAAATGAAAACAAGTCTTACTAACTAACTCCTACTCTCTGTAATGATACGACTGCTTTTCAGGAAAAAAGGTGCTCAATTACAATTAAAATAGTAGAACATCCTCCACCTCCGCTCAGCTCATTAATTCAATGTTATCAAAAATTTTTAGTGAGCTTTAATAATTACTATTTTCATACTCCACCAAGCTGTTTTGAGGACTAACAGGTTCTGGGAATTATGGCGGAATCAGGTAGAAAAACTACCTGCTGCATGAAATCCGTGAATCGATCATGTTCCAGGAAACCGGACGAATCGGAAATTTGTGAGAACATATCTGAAAGCTTGCAATTTTTCATTAGGTACTTCAGTCATTGCAAGAATATGGAAAACTCAAAAAGAGCTGATGAGATAACTGGCAAATAATAGAAGATTTACTCACACCTCAACTTGTCCACCAATTTTCCTGCACATATCGTCGCCAGTGCAATTTTTATTGAAAACACTGTTAATCGGCCTGTTTGTTGCCTGAAACGGAAGTTGATTTATGTGAATTATTTTTCGCTAAAAAACAAAAAATTGTGAACTAACTTGTCATAAGTTCCTAACAAAAAACTCAATAACAACGAAATCGATTTGTCCGTGTCGATGTGTTGTGAAGAGACAAGCCGTTTGTTCAAATTGTGATAGATTGTCGTCAGTAACAGTTCAATACGTGAGGTTTTGATCTGAAAGGAAACATATCGAAGGGAATCATAGGAGTCAATACTCGTAACGTTGCACCATTCTACTATAAGCGTTGCTTGAGATGAAGTCTAAAGTATAAAGTCTTCAGTCGTTCATCAATCCTGTCTGAGGGGATGGGCCCTGCATCCGACTTTCATTCAGAATCGTAGTGGCGTATTGAATGCGTATGTGGCCGATTCAATGACTTGCGGTGGCCAGTCGATGAACAAGTTGGTGCTTTAGCCTCCTAGACGAGTCTGGTACCAATTAACCGATGCCGGAGGGATGAAAGGCCTGGTAGAATTAGACGGATACTGATCCAGGATTCAAACACGTGACCATGAGTATGTGGTAGCACGCCACTTGCGACTACATCAGCACAGCACGTGCTTGAGATACTGTAATATAAACGAAAGTGCTACATACCTCAATTCTGTTAAAGTCAAATATCTAGATGACAGGGAAAGCGATTGGAGCCATACTCACACTAGAAAGTGAGGAGTTCAGGTTTTTTTTAAAGCAGTATTTTTGGAAGTGGAGTGGCAAGTGAGGCACTATCACACGCGCACGGACCGATTTTGCCGCTCAGGCGACTAAGTCCAGCCCTCCGAGTTCTGTTAATCGGTAACAGGCTTGCGTGGAAAGACGATAGCACTGCCTAGTATATGGGCTGGTCACATAAAGCCATTGTATAGACCACAGACGGGATTGATCAACGCCAGGAAACTGCATCCTTATCTTTATTATATTATGAGTACAGTACAGAATGTATGCGCTGTCTGGACAACTCTGTGTTCCCTCGCGAAACAGTTCTGTGAGTACCAAATGACACCACCGGCAGAAAGGCTCCATTTACGGCTTCTTCAATAAAGCATAAATGCCAGAAACAAGGTGAGAATTGGCAACGCTTGGCCATTCGCTCAATGTTCGGTAGGGTGAAAAATGAAAGGTGTATGGACGAGTTGGAACCCTTCTGCTGCAGGAGGTTAAACCTCAGATACTAAACAGATCCCTCTCGAATGGTTTTAAAAAAGCAATCTTGTAGGAAGCGAATTCGCGCAAAGATAATCTTGTTAATTGCATAGCCTAGTGTGTCACGGATTTATCTTGAAAAAGCCAACAACTATGTGCCTACAGGGCCCAGATAATCTAGAGGAATCCAGTTTGTCTTGGTGCCGTTTCAGAGTATGCGATTGCCCTCGGGCACAGAATAGTGGCGGTTCCATTCACTCGACACTTCTGAAATGTCACGGCACTTTATTGATCATATCCGATTTCTTCCAATGAGTAAAGTAAACAATCAAAAAAGCCACTTTGAAAATGTCCGAATGGGGTGAAAGATGAGAAAGTCGTCACATTCTAAAGGCTTCCAGCTAACATATCGTGTTACATTCGTTTCAAAAAATCCGTTTTTTTTAAATCTGCACGGAACTTCTAAAAAATTACTTCTTATCATTGGAATGTAGTTTTTCGAACCATTTACATGCGGCTTTGCAGATGGGAGAGCTACAATGGACCACAATGAGATAGGTTCCATAGCAATGACTTTGAACTTCACTTATCACTAATTCATCTGAACAACAAACCGGTTCAAAAGGAAAAAATAAAGGTTTGTATAAGGACCAAGATGCGCCTTCCATGAATCCAACTGCCACTCTGTGGAAATGGGTTTTCTAAGACATTAGTCCCTCCTGAAGGAACAGCTTACAAGAAAAGTCATTCTCGAAGTATCCCTCTAGAGTGAGTCGCGACATCCAGGTATGGTAGATGTGGCGCTGTAAGATAAAAGATTGCATCCACTGTATGCCACGTCACAAGGGAAGAATTTCAATGGAGTTGTAGAGGCTGCACCATTAACAAGGGATATCCGCATGGAAATTCCAACAGCAGGCCACGAACCATGGTGACAGTGGAAGGCAATTTAGGCGTTTCTGGCTTTACAGCAACCAAAATCAAGTCCATATACCCTCCGGAGTAAAGCCGTGATGATAATCTCGTACAACTCCTAACTTCTTTTCACGAATTCAGTTTTTTCGCTTTCTTTGCACCGATACATTATACTTTACCACCACCCATTTTTTCAAATTGAGAAGGTACCACGAAATTATTGCGGACAGTGCCTTCGAAAGTGGACCAGTAGTAGTCCAAACA